AAATGAATCTCGAGAAATTGTCTGGATGTCGGGGCAGATTTTTCGAGTTCGGAGTGTCTTCAAGTCCAAGTGTCCGTGCGTCGGGAGCTGCAATGTACCCAAGGGTTACACAACCGCGTCCTTCAAGGATCCGATCCCTCGATTTCTCACGCGGTACTTGCCGGACTACAATACATCAGACCTGATTCAAGTCAAGGACGTTCAGGAAACTACTGTTCATCTCAAAATGTAACCCAACCAAGAAGGAGAACACGAAAAAAAAAAAAAAACTCCCAGAAGGAAAAGACTCACGGCCATTGCGCAACAGTCGTGTGCACAGGAATAATTTCTCCGCAGTCCGTTCCTCCACGTAGACATAACCGCCGAATGAGTCAATTGCGACGACAGCCACTTTTCTCCCCCCGAGGAAACTTCGCCGAAGGGAACCGACCCCCTGTTCCAATGCAACAATCGGTTCGAGACTCGAAAGACAGCCGCGAAATGGTCACGGGACGACCAAAAAAAAACGTCGCGCGGAAAAATAACTACAGTATCAGGTTCGCCATCATATTGCTCCCAGAGCCGGGCTACGGCTTCCGGGGAGATTGAGTCGGCGACACCCGAGGTGGGCCGGCTTTATTGATCCCAGGGAGTTCCGCGGTGATCGACGAGAGTCACAAGTACCGTTTTTCTCCGTTTCCGGGCGACACGGATTCAAAACGTCCGTCGCACTACGCACTCCCGAGCGCTGGGAAAGTTTCGCGATCATATCGCGGTCGGTCAATCGAAGGCTCGCGCGCCGCACCCATCAAGTCCACGGACTCGACACCAGGAATCGCGTGTCCCACAAACTTGCCTGGGAATTCGCCAGGACAAAACGGATAAACAAAGCCATAGGTTTTCACATTCTCAAAACATAAGCAAAAAATTAATCGAACGCATCGAAAGTGAAATGAGATCTCCCACATACGAAAGTTGTCCCAGTTACACGCGACCTCTGAAAGCCTATAATGTTCAAAGATTTTAAGATTTTTAAAAGTTTTTCAATTCACTCACTGCATGTCAGGAAGTGAAAACTTTCCAATTACATCTAGAGTTATCCTCGCATGTCACAGAGATCTAAAATATGTCCGGCTGGTTAACAAATTTAAATTCTTCTGTTGGCTCAACCATTATTTAAAATGCAGAAAACATGATGGGTAAAACATTTTCGTATCCGCGACGTTCGCTCCCAATTTTAAACCAACAGCCCTAGAAAATGAGCAAGAACTGCATCATTTAAGCGATACATCACAAATTCTTCGATTCATGATAATACGTATAATCTTCAGGCGAACTAGATTCCCACAAATTTTTAACTAATTTTCGAGTTAAAAAATACTGTGACTGCATATACAGTATACATCATATGCAAAACAAAAATTTGGCAAATATTTGGGGGGGGGGGTGTGTAATTAATACGAAGACGAACCCGGCAAAACTCCCAAACTTTTTACAGAAAAGACCTGGGAAGATTATTAGGACTCAATGATTCAAACCCCAAATGTTTTCACATACTGTATTTTATTTTACTGCACATCGAATTGCAGTACACTAGCTTTGAATATAAGCGCACTCGCGATTTTCAAGGAATATCCGGGGGAACATCCTGCCTATAATCGAATGAACACATTCAAGGTAAACTCTCTCCACAAAGATTTTCTAGTATAATAACGATTTTTTGGTCCCATGGTTGGTAGTGGTAGAGTTCTCTACCAATCTTACAGGGGCTCTCTCCAATGACTTTTTCTGGTCCGCTGCATCCCGTTGCAAAAGAGTCCACCCGAATTCGCTAAACAAAATTTTGAATGAATGTCGTGATCGAATTTTTCCCACGACCGCTTTGATATTTACTGCTTTTTTCGCCCTTGAATATTCAACAGCGTAAGAAAGATTCCAAAACAATAAAAAAAATTCGTTGGACTGAATTACTTGAAGAGAAATCCTAACAAATATGAACAATGCGCCATTGCCTGGAATATTTAAACAGCTAACTTTTGTCAAACCCTGCAGCGGTTCAAAGGATTCAAGCTTTCCAAGAACCAAAACACTGGGATCAGTCGATTTTCAAAGAAACTTCATGCAAAGCAACAACTCGCCAACAAAGCTATCAACCTAAAAAAACTCATGACAAACAAGAAATGTTGGGTACTCGTCGACGGTACCATAAACACACAAAAAATCAATAAAATCGCGCACACGAAAAGTTCGAGACAGTCATCGAAAAAAAAAAAAAAAAAAAAAAAAAAAAAAAAAAAAACACTACCAAACATGAGCAGCAAATCGAGGCGTTTAATTTTCTTCCTCGCGACATGACACCCGGAGGCGACGTGGTTCACACTCACTGACACACGTTGGGCAGCGACTCGCGTCAGGGGGCGAGAAACATCGCGGATCTTGATTGATTCCTTCTGCTTAATTAGCCAGCATCCTTGAACACGGAATCTGACAGACGGAGGGAAAGTCGTCTCGTTATCCGACTACTTGAGTTTTATTTGATCGTTACACCTCATACAGGGAATCACTCGTACTTCCGATGGCATCGCTCGTCAATCGATCCCTCCGGAGTGGGTTTCATCTTCTCCCTACGAATGCTTTTCGTCTCATTAAGCGAAAAATTCATTTTCTTCTTTAAAATGAGTCCTGAATCGCGTGTTAGCATTTAGGATTACAGTATACTATAGTACGAAACTCGACGCTTGAATTCAACGCGCTATTCCGATGCCATTAAAACGACGGTATGGCAGCATATGGATTAGCAAAGTCATCTCAGAAAATACAATATAATAAAAGGAATCTAGCATTACAGACGATTGATTGATGAGCCATTGGACCTTTACTTGCAAATTGTCAGTATTCTAAGATTCACAAAATTTTCCCACAGAGTAAATACAAATACATGGATATGAATCGCCCGCATTTTCTTAAGAATGACATAAATTACAGCACAAGGTAATAACCGAGCGCAAATTTAAGCAGAAGGTTTCAGCCTGCTCCCAGATAAATGTTGATTGATTAAAAACTTTGGAAAGAATCTTTGAGCTGAAATCATATAAAGCTCTACTGTATACTGATCCTCTAATATGTGGGATAATACCTTTCTATCAGGTTATGAAAGTCTCGAGTAATTTGGAAGTTCAATTAGCATGGTGTTGAATGGTGGGCCTAAGAAAATAAGTTGTCCTAGTGATGCAGTAACCAATACATTTACACTGCAGTAATTAAAATACACCATCTAGAGTCCTAGACCTAGGCAATCTTGAGAATTCAAAAAACTTCGTATCAAAATGTCAGGAGTTTGCGAACAGTGCTACAATGTCCTATAAAACTATTTTTACCCAGCCAAAAAACCCAATTTAAAAGGGTGATTTTTCAAGGGTCGTAAATCTGCATTTCGACAGATCTCACTTGTTATTTCGTTCGCAAGAGTGCCCATGCCGCAGACTGTTTTCCGCGGGAAAGACTTGCGAACAAGTACGTCTCGACCGAATAATAAATGAACATGAATTCCACTCGAGGAAGGGATAGAAGCAATTATAATTCCCCCAGTCACTGCACAACGGAACTGACAGGTTATGCACGATACGGCTAACCCTAAGAAACTTTACTGGGCTCAACGGAAACTTAACTTCAGAACTCCATCCCAGCGCCAAAGGAACAACGAAATAGCTTCTACTATTGGCCTTTGGGAACTGAAAGTGTTTCAGTGAGTGTGAGAACTGAGATAAATTAACAACCAAAAGAGACTCGTTCGAGATTAAAACTGCAAGTCATAATCAAATGTTCCAGGGTTCCCGGCACAATTGCAGTTGCGTTTCAGCGTGCAAAAACTGCGCCATTTTATTTTCAACGATAATGCAAGATCACTGTTTGTATCGCCCCATTTCTGTTTTCCTTCGAGCAATCAATGGGAAAGTCATTTTTGCGTCAGTTTTCAACCTTCTGTTTCCCCGAAGAAATCTTAATGGTTGAAGACTCCGTGAAGTGTGTACCAACAACTGGCAAGAGGAGAACTAATTCCTTCATTCCAACTTGACGAGTCCATCACACTATTTGAGGTACAATCTTAAACATCTCTGATTTTTCAGGTGGATTTGCGGTGCACATTCCATGAGAAAGGGATTGTGTTTAATTGACACTGCGCTTATTGCATTTGTGCAAATGCCAAGTTGGCAACGCTGACGCACTCTGCTCTGAGGCTCTGGAGAATGAAAATTCCGTCCTCGAAGTTCGAGAAATTTGGAGGTCTTTCAGTTTTTCACTGCAAATGACAGAGAGATGTTCTGACTGAATTTCTTTTTTTTTTTTTTAATACCTGAAATCAAGTGGGACGTTCTTAAGGATGACCTCGCAGGGTTCTTCATCACGCCTTGGTTTCTAAATGTTTCACCCGTGTTGGTCAGTTGACTCTTGAGTTTCTGCTGGGTTGCAGGGTTAATTTTCTGTTGCTCCCTGGGTGCATGAATTCTGGTTGCGCTTTTGGGTTACTTACTGGACTAACCTTGCTTTCGTGCACAGTGAACCCCACATTTCCTATGCACTCACTCTTAATACACAGGGACTTGAGGTTATACTTCAGATTAAACCTCACTTGAAGGATTTAGCTCGTGAACATATGGTACTGTAAAATAACAATGTTCATCATCGGAAGGATCCACGTCATATTGCTTCCCTGAATCATTCTCTGTAACACCTGCAACAGCACAGCACTCTGCACCAGCACTGGGACTCGAGGTACATTTGAGCTCTCACTCTCACATAAACTCAATTGAACCCATTGCACATCACAACCACCTCAATTGTGTCAAACTGGAAAAATACGCAGGTCTCAGTACAAGAGTACGTTTAATGCAGGACATGTGAGTGAGTGAGTAAGCATCAATCTCTGGGTAAAAGTTCGAATCAAACATGCCAACTGATACGCAAGGAAATCAGATACCCGGATTTTAGGGTTCCTTCTCACCAACATCCCCCACTTGCCTTCACCGCACTCTCGCTCGGCGCCGGGAGAAAAATGCTTGCAACAAGCTCTTCAGTTCACGAACAATAGAACATTCCTCAACTTCGCTATTTTCAGAATGCAGATCAGCGCATATGTCAACAAAGCTTCCCCTTATGCACCACTCGCGGGTGTCGTATGACCCAGTGTCAGAGAGAATGTCACGGGGCTTGGCAAACGCATTGAACAGCGGAGGACACAAACCCCATTGGCACAACAATACCTGCAACCGATGTCTGCTCAAACCCGAACTATCCGAAATGATTTATTATCTGGCAAAGGAAAATTTCGATTTCGGCATGATGAGAAGAAATGCTGTACTGTATTGTACATCATCGATCCTATAATCGCATATTGCACTAGGAACATGCATTTTACCGGAACGGGGCCCCGAGATGCGGACGTAACCGGTACTTGGGCCTTGTCCCTATGCCGGGACGTCCGTACGTTCGATACCGTTATCATTCAGACTTCGATGAAAACATATTTAATTGGTTCGCCTGCTGATCAAAAATTAGGAAAAAGTCTCCCAAATTTTCAATAAAAATAATTTTTCTCAAATTCAAGATACATAAAAATAATAGTGCAGAAGAAAACCACATATAAATAATCTTTGGCATGAAAAGAAGCTAAAAAACCATGAACAAACACAAGTCTCTTTATGCTCTGCTCCGATGATGGAAAGAACTCTGAAAAAATAAGCACAAAATCAACCTGCTTTGGATTATAAATTATAGTGAGTTCATAATACAATTTATTCTGAATTTTCGTGAATATAAAAAGCTCAACTTGCTCAGAAGATCCGTACTCTGATGAATGCATTTTTACATTTGTCTATAAATATTGGTAAAGTGTCCGTATCTTGAGATATGGTCCAGATGTCGGGCAGATCTTTCGAGTATTGTCCATAAGTCAAATCGTCCATACGTCGGGGCCCCACCGTACTTGTACTGTACTTGAAAATATTGACGCGCACCCAAGCATTTGACGCCGCCCACCGGTTCCGCGAATGAAACCTCGGTGATGACATCCCGCAAAAATTAATGGCTTCGAATGCGTCATTCCGTCAAAGGAAACTTGATATTTTTAACCAAAACATTTCCCCGTGACGACACGCCCGAAAATGCCGCATCAAACTTTCCTGCGTCGCACATGCGGGAAAAGGCGCAACGTGAGTGCAGCTTCTCGAATTCCACTTGGCAGCATCACCAACCGAAACTTCATAACCGTTCGGGAAGTTGGGCAGACATCCGATGATTTCAACCACACAAAAAAATAAGTACTGAACCGTGTTCTGAAAGTGATGAATGGATGTGGGCTGTATGCTTACGAGAAGGGGAAAAAAAAAACATAACTGCAGAACGCGTGGACCATAAAATTCGCTGCACGACTTTTTCCGGAGAAAAAACTGCACATGTCGTGAACTGAATATTTTACTGTTACATCCCTCGGAGGCAATCGTGGAAAAAATCCTCGTCGTCGAGTCATCGTCAACGTTGGGTCATAAGCATGAATTATTTTACTGAGCACGAATATCGTCTCGTGAACGGCGAAAAATGCATAGTAAGATGAGTCACATGAAGTCACTTCTTGATTTTGCACGCGGGAAATTTTGAGATCTAAAACTTTCCCGCGATAAAATCGCAATTTGTAAATATGAGTCTAGGTCGGTTATAGACGTTGCTCCCCCACGAACTTCCCTTCGTCAAACACCGACCACCACGATGAATTCTTCATCCGACATTTCACCAGCAAACGAATCCCAGAAAGGAGGGTTTTCAGAGCTTTTAAATAGACCACCTTTCACGCTAAACCGTGACAAAAAGTGAAAGCAGAGACACTCCCAATGAACCCCGAAACCTTTTCCAGAAATCAGCACTTTAGTCCAGTGCTGCCCAACTCAAACGTGGCCAAGGGCCGCATTGCAGGCCACAATAAATAATTTTCGAGGTTCCAAATTTTCCCCTTTTAAATGAGAAAGTTCAAATTTAATTTAGGGCTATGCATTGAATCACAAGAATAGCCTTACAGCATTTTTGAAGGGTGGAGCGATATTTTGAATTTTAAAATTTATCTTTCGATGTTGACTGTATTTTGCATAGTGGTGGCTGCCACCTTGAAAATTACAGGGAAGAGATCTTCACACTCAATCCAGATTTATTGAACCAGCAGGTTTTCTCAAGACGATGATGAAGACCGATCTTTCACAAAAAGAATACGAAGTAGGAACAAGAGTCATCCTGAAATTAATTTCTCGGATTTTAACGACGCGTTCCTACGAATACTGGGCGAGCAGCATGAGTGCAATTTCGCAAGCAATTTCAAGTGTCAGACAACAAGTAAATGCCCGTAAATATTAAAACTCACGAATCCCCCAAATCGTTTTAACGAGCACATAAATCAATAGAAAACGAGCGATGCAACCTCTTCCGAAGAACATACCACACCAGTTTTTCCCCCTTCACCACAACTTGCAACAAATGGTCCTTCCGAGACGAAAAAAAAAAGTTCCCTCGAAGTTGAATAGTGAACCCCGGATCGTGATTATACAAATCACTCGTTTGTTTAAATCTCATGATTCTCTTGTACGAACATCTTCCATCTTTGTACTGTACTTGAAAGAGCATCTTCATCCCAGAAGAAAAAATCGAGGTGGCCGCCCAGTCATTAAAAAAAAAAATTATATATATATACATATACAATACGAGGGCTGTCCCAGTTGGACGCGACCTCTGATATTTCTAGAGTAGATGTGATTGTAAAAAATAAAAATCTCGACATAGTCCATGATGTTCTAAGGTTCTGGGATTTTTTTTCGGATTCTTAAAAAAAAGTTCTGAAATCTGCAGCATGATAAGTGAAGATTTTCCAGTAGCAGCCAGAGTTCTAAACCAGTTTCTCAGGCTTCTAAAAATGTGTCCGGCCATATAAGGAACCTGCTTTTTTCACGTGTGATCTTTTTTTTTTTTTACACTTTAGATGAAGATTACAGCAACCCCAAAATTCAATTGTTTAGCCAGCCTGACAAATTTTCAACACCCTTTGACATTGGAGAACTCTGGCCGTAACTTGAAAGTGTACACGTAACATACAGCAAATGTAAACACTTTTTTTTCAGTAAAAAAATTCCAAAACCTTAGAACATCATGGACCATGTCATGATTTTCTTACAATCACACCAACTCTAAAATTATCAGAGATCAAGTCCAACTGCAACAACCCTCGTGCAGGTGGACTCTTTCTAAAACGAAATTCAACAGACCAGAAAAAAAAATCGTCGTAGAGAGAATCTCGTCGCAGCGAAGCTCTATAACACGGGGAGAAACCCCAATGGGGCCCTAAAAATGCTTCATACTGTACAAAGGAAAAGAGAGAGTCCACCTGTATTTCGTGGGATTCCGTTATTGGGTGCAGTTACTATAAAATCCCTGTCACACGAATCATCAACGCCAGATATATAGACTAGAAACGTCGGACTAGAAGGAGCCGGAACTGCGGACATGAAGACAAAGGGGACGTGGTTTTCTTCGACAAACGTATCAAAGAGACAGAAAGAAAAAAAAAGGACGCCCAGAAATACACACGAGATTTATAGATATACAACGCGCCGCCAGATCGGTACACAAAAGTTCCCTCGGAACTGGGTGGCGTTATAGCACACATTCGCTTTCGTACGTGATTCCCACCGGAAGGAAGAAAAAGGAAAGCAACTAACCTTCTCGTTGAAAAGATCGCGTACTTTTCCGGTGTGGTCCCGGAATCGTTCCAGAGCGAGTTCCATTTCCAGGCAACGCTCTTGCCAGTCGACAGACCCGTCGTCAGCGTTCTTCCCGCTCGATTCGCCGAACATTGTAGCGACGTCTTTCGTCGACGACAGCAAGGCCCAACACGACGAGTTCGGCGAAGCGATGACTTCCTCTAAATCCCCGGCAAAATCGGACAACACCGAGTGGATCGACGATGAACTCGCCGTCGATGCCCGTTGATCATAGTCCGACATGCTGAAAAAAGAAGAAAAACACACGGGTCTTAGACACACAGAACCTCTAGAACCGCGACTTCAATCCCTGACAAACACATTTTCCCCTTGAATAGCACCCGTAGTACAGATGATTAATACGGTAATTCCTTCGAAATGTATCAAATTAAAAATAGACCAAGAAAATACAATCGCAATTTCGATCTTCAGTGCCGATTACGGTGAACAGTGACTTTTCGTCATATCCTGAGCCCCCTGAGATAAAAAAAAGTAATGAGAAAATATTTTTCAAAATTATTACGGAGTAGCTTTCAAGCACATCCAAGGTTTAAATATATCTTGATTCTATGAATTTAGTAAAAGGAGTCCCGAAAATGTGGGGCTTCACGTCAACAGTTCGATTAGCCGTGCTCTCCCCAAAATAAACGAGTGATCATAACAATGAACATCGTCAACTGATGAAAGTGTGATGCATCATCAGCAGCAAGTGGAACAGCAAGGAACATCGGGCAGAGTTGATAACACTCTGCAGCTCAAACCCGGGAACATTATCAGCTCCCTATTTCGGGGCTATCGCCAAACATGCGAGAAACCCCGAGTTAAACTAAAAAAAATCTTTTCCGCACTCTTCTAATCGTCTTTTGTACTAATTCACAGAACAACACATTTCGGAATAATTGCCGTATTCGAGATCAATGTTCTTTGTTCTCAAAACAGAGCAGAAGTAAAAAATAAAAGCATGATATTTCTGCAGTCCATCCACGTCTAGATTTTTTTTTTCGAACGAACATGGAAACCGAAATTTCAGACTTCGGCTCACAAAACGAAGAGGCCCTTTTTGAGAAAAAAAGCCGAACTTTTCCTCGCGCTCCGTCTTCATTTCAGCTCCGCGTTTTGACACATATAATTCAGCCATTAATCGATACGATTCTTTTCTTCGGGCCAACTAGTACGTTAAGCAGAACTGTGCGATATTTGTTCACACGGTGCTTTACCGTGTTGCATGTACCCATCTGAATGCAAAGTACAACAAAAACTAGCTTCGCAACATACCAGCAGGTGAAACCCACCGGCTCTTACGCATGTCAAGCATTCAAAGTTGCACCAATTTCACACGCTGTTCGCCGTCTCAAGAACACGCACTCGAGGGGCGACCCAAACAAAGTACTGCACATTACAATACTCGATCGCATTCGAAAAATACTGTTGTAACCACAGTTTCAGCCGAGGCCGGTTACCGTGAACCCACAAAAAATTTCCAGCATGCTGCAATGCGAACCAAATTTAAACTTCCCTAGCAGAAGAAAAAAAGACAACGAACATCTCGTTACAACAAATGATTCAGTACAACGAACTTTTTCTCAAGCCCCGGCAGAAAGCTCGTGGATTACGTGCTGAAACAATCTGGATATCACAAACTTCCAAAATCCAGTATACAGTAATATGAAGCATGTTTCATAGATTCTCCAGGCAGAAATTTCCCAACTGAGGCAGACGAAGTCTAAAATTTCAAGACCCAAATGTGACTGACTGGTTCTTGTAGCATGGATGAAAACTGTAATCAATGATAAATATACAGTACTTCAAAGTGGTTCCACGCATCATCCTCCCAGAATGAAGAGATTTTCACGTCATCCTTCCAAAATGAAGTGATTGGTGCAACTCATGGAATGCATGATAGAAGCTACAATATTTTTTTCGGAAGATCGCTCAGTTTTTCAATCAATAATAAAAAATCTGAGAATTCCCGAAAAGCAAGAACTAACTGATGATACGACAGGTCTGATCTGAACATTTGTTCTGTCATTAATCATAAAAATCTCGTTATAAAAAATCATTCAATGCAACAAACTTTTTCTGAAGCCCCCAAAAGTTTGCTGTAACCAGACTTTACTGTAATCGAAACGAGGATCCGTAATGGAGTTCATACGAACCCACGTGGAAACACGGCTGGGCCCGGACGAAGCGTTTCTTTTAGATCGTCGGCATGACGTTGGCGCCGTCGAAACGTCGGGCTTCGGCAACCCGCCCAAATGAGGCCCTCTTTTTTCTTTATTCCACGCAGTGCCCGAAGATCCCGGACACGATGTTTCTGGTGCTCAGGCCTGTGTGACGGGCCCGACGAAAGCGAACGAGAGCAAGGTCGGTCGAGGGAAACAAGACTCGCCCGACGAAAACTGTTCCCTTCATCAAACCGTAAATGTAGAACAGTACGGTACAACTGCACACAAGAGTATTTTTCGCCATACTTCGATTGGCTCTAAGCTATCGGAGAGCAAGACAATTTCGAGGAGACTGATACAGTCACTGAATGACAAAAGCATGTCGCTCGAAGTAACCCCATCACCACCCCAGAAAAAAAAAACAATTTATATCATGATACAGTATAGCAAGCGACAACTCGGAGGACTAAAAGAGCACAGCTCTGACATCCATGTTTACATAAATCCATCAACTTGACGAGGAAAAAAAAACGGATGAAACAGCGAATACTGTATCACCATGCCATATCCGACCTTCAAGATGAAGATGCGGCCGACTCAGGAGTTCACAAGAACAAATATATGAATTTTATTCAGCAAAAAAAAGTATACAGTATGTGCAGCTTTAAAGTTTTAAATCATCGGGACTCCAGACTTTGGAGCAGGACAATCCATCTTTCCTGAATAAACGCAGGAAGCGATGGATTTTCTACTGAACCTGTACACGGTGGATCAAACAAACGGGATACTTACACCAAAAGTAGGAAACAAATTTATGACTTCATCGCACATTTCTTACGACGGCAGAATAAATAAAAATGTTCAAATCACGACATTTATTTGTCTTTATTTTCAGATTAAAACTTGCAGTAGACGGCTGCTTCCATCCATCACAGCCCATGGTTTTTTCCTATCAAGCATTTACCACACGTTTCCACAAGAAATTAGCCTGCATCTCAACAGCAGCTTGTTTTTAATCGCATTCCTGAGAAATTTGCGAAGCAGGAATGAAAATAATGGTTTGGCTGTTTTTGATGGAAGTTTCCTTCAAACAACCACGGATTGTACTACATATACAGTACCATTTAAAATAAATTGGAACTACCTTAGTTTTCACGCAATGTTGAATACTGTATTCTTCAGTTGAAATATTCACGAGATTATAATGAGAAAGTCCACTGTATCCGAAATTTTTCCAAATAAATCTACAGTAGTTGCAATTTCAAAATGTTTCAGATGCTCACGCTTACATGGGTTATTGTATTCCTTCGGCAACTTACAACGACGTTTTTTTTATGGCAATAGTTAATATTGGTTATCACTGTTTACAGTATTGTAAAACAAACACATTGCAAAGGAAGTTAATTCAACTTTCCCAGCAGACTAAGAACTTTTCTACTTCGCTTTTTTTTTTTTTTGGCCACACTGCACGTGAATGAGATCGATTCTTCACTCAGAAAAGCGTAACAAACGTTAACTGGTGGAAGGAAGTCACAAAATGAAGTCGTCAAGCTTCTAATTTTATCCGGGACGGGTTAAAACATGGCTAACCAACGGAGCTACCCATAAAATGCGATTTCCAATCCCAGGATCTTCGCCGGGGTTATTCTCGGAGGCAAGTTGGGTTGGAACTCCGGGACACATCAGTTCGCCACGCGGTGAATGCAAGAGCCGGGAACGACTTCAAGTGGGGCTGAGGAAACAGAAGTTCCAGATGTGACTTCAACTCAACTCAAGTTTCTCATGACTTTTCATGAGATCTGGGAACCAGTACTGATATAAAATGGATCATCATCCCTTCGAAATAATACAGAATGGAGCTTCACCCTTCAAATGGCATAAGTTTGTGAAGTAATTATAATTAAGTGCGTATAATAGTTACAAAAGTATATTCTGTATAAATTAGATAAAATCAGATGGCTGTGGATTCTTCAATTCAGAGAGATCCATAGAATCCGAAAAATCTGAAGTTCATTTATTGCACATTTGGAGCTTCACCCAAGAGCAGATTTCCTTCAATTAAACATGCAATAAGCCACAGAGAATCTCCAGGAGGTTCTCATACACTAAACCTCACCCTTTCTTCAGCAAAGGCTTCTCAAGGGTAAGGCTTGAAATTTCACAGCAGTCAGTATAGTATTCACTTGTGTAGCCTGGGATCAGGGGGTATGAAGTGCAGATATTTTGGCATACATGGTCACTGCAATAGGGACTGTAGCAAATGGGTAATGGGAAGAAGTATTGGCTGCTGCATGGCAATGGCAAAGACGGTGGAACCAACTGGGAGAGGTCCATGTGAGTGAAGATGATGGTGTGGGAATTTTAACATTTAGCTGATTTAGGAGGTACATGCGGAATTTACCTAGTTTTTTATGCTACCTCTTTTCTCTCACAGCTCAACTTTCGCATTCGATTGTGGCCTTGCTAAGCCCTTGTCCAAAATGAAACCAACAATGCATTTTCTTACTTGCTGCAAGAACTAAACAACTAAGCTTTAAATCAGTCGCTGAAACTGTGCTTAAGAAGATAATGTGAGTCTGTACAAAATTTCCAAGAATTATCAGCACTCAAAAACTCTTGATACTTCGACTGCTGCAACAGTCATCAGTGGTACAATGTTTCTGGTGTCGACCTCGCCCTTCAGATACTGGAATTCCACATCAACACTACATTAGTTGTATAGCAGGAAGCCTGTTCAGTCTAAAGCACACCATTTCAGTGTCCAGGCTCCAAATACAAGTGGACTTTCTCTACAAAAAATGAAAGGGATCAGAAAAAAATTATCTGTAGAGAGCATTTTGTTGTAAATTAAGACAAAATGTTAAACCTATTGAATGTACAGTTTCATTGAAGGATATCTGCTTTCGGTGAAGCTCTTGATGTGTAATAAATGAACTTTCAGATTATGTGTATTGTAAGGATCTCCGAATCAAGAGATCCACAACAAAATTCAAGGGACCAGAAAAAAATCGGTTTCAAGAGAATCTCGTATAGAGCCCCTATAATATGGGTAGAGAACCCTACAGGACCAAAAAATGCC